TTCATTCTTGAATTGAATTTCGTCCAAATTCCTACTCTGATTCATCTTCATCATGTTTTTAAGGTTTCAAAATAAAAATTTGAAAAGAAAGAATTTAATATTTTTTTTGAAGGAATTTAATACAAATTAAAATACTTAATGGGTGAAAAAGGATTAAGGAAGGGGGAGAGAGAGAGAAAGAAAGAGAGAGAGGGACAGAGAGGGAAGATTGTTTGGAGGTATCAATCTTCCTCCCTGATGTATCATACTTTCTCGATCTAAAACTCTGTCAAGCAGACATTCTCGATCAAGCTAAGAAAGTTTTGAAGGATTTCATTTAAGACTTATGACTTAAGAACCAATGATTAAGTTTTTTATGTCGAAATAAATTGATTGCATCAATTAATTGCATTTTATTAAATTGAAAAAGTCAGGAAGTGAAATATTCCGGACCTCAATTTTTCTTTTTTCCGGTTACATTTTCGGTCAGCTTTCTTTAACTTCGTTGAGAATGAACTCCGTCCACTTTTAAAAAACTCTTTTAAATAACTGACTGTTTTACTTGCTGCAAAAGCGGCAAAAGGCTTTTGCGGATAACTAGAAAAAAAATTACTGATTAACTATTTCCAACATTCAGTGAAATGTAATTCGAATGGATGATTTAAAAGTTAACGGATCATACTGATAATGAACTAGTTAACGGATCACATTGATTTTGAAGGATAATGAACTGATAATGATATGGTTTTATGGTATATCATACCAAGCATCAATTAGTTATCATGATAACAAATGATAGCGTACCACAAATCGATTAAATAGCTATGATAAGTAAAAAACAATAGTGATAATGAAATTAGTCAAGTCACTGTTGATAACAAAAGATAATGAATTGTTGATCGGAAGATTGATTGAGTGGTGGTAATTTTCATTAAATCATTCATTCTTTCTTTCAAATTTATTAATTAAATCTCTAGTAGTTAAAGGAGAGGATTGTAATTGCAAATTTGTTATGGTTCAAGATAATTTTGCAAATATTTCTTTCTTTTTCAAACTAATTATATCTGTATTATACTTTTACATAGATTAATACTATCAAACAAAGTATCGTCATTATCAGTTGATAATTGTCATACAATTCCTAGTGATATTCACAGATTCAGTAATACATCTGTAAACAATTCTCAAAAATAAGCCAAGTATGAATTGATTTTTTATTTTCTTTCTTTTTTTTTTTTAGTAAATTGTAAATTCTTTTCAAAATTTTTGATGTTTGAAAAAAAAAATGCAAAAATTTTTCTTTTCATATTTTTGTGATATAAAATTTTTTTCTGTCACTAATTTTAAGAGTGAAGTATGGAAGTTATTTTATGTAGTTTGTATAAAATATCGCTTTCTATTATCAACAATTCCATCAATCTCTTACTTTTTCCAAAATTCTATGGGGAATTATCATAAACAACTAAATGTGTCTATCTTTTGTCAAAATGCATAATTGCAAAATTTATAAGTTTCGTTTCGTAACTAGCGAAAAAAATTAAAATAGTTTAAATTGCCTTTTTCTAGCTTTGGTTTAATGGGCTCTATTTCAGTCTTGTTTACAGAAATACTATCAAAAATTATCAAACTGGAGCAAAATTTCAAAATAATTCGTATGCAAAATTAACGAATACTATGTTTAAATTATTTTTTTTTTTCTTTCAACTTATAAGAAGAATATTATGAAATATCACAGAGAACGAGTAAAAAGGAAAAGATTAGAATTTTCTTTTTTTTTTTTCCTCTTACCTTTGTTAATATGATCAAAAATGTGATCATTTAATTTATTTTGATTTCATTAATATTAATAAAATGTCACTGTTATTAAAGCATTACAAGGCATTTATCAATCTATATGTAAATTAGATCAATTTTTTCATCTTGCATATCATATAATATCAAATGGATAAAATGGTCATTTTTCATTTTTATTATCATAATTTTTTAAGGAAAAAGTTCGTTTTAAGATTGAAAAATTTCCTCTCTTCAAATGTTTCTTTTTTTGTTTTCTGCAAAAATTTGATTAATATGCCAAATTTTTTAAAAATTGAGATGAATAGTGATATTTAATCAAACAACGATTTCATCTTCAATCATATTTTACGAGAGTGCAAAAAAAAGCGAAAAACAAAATGCTACGACCAATTAATAAACTGTGCAACAACAATGAAATATTGTAGTTTAAATCATTTTTTTTTTTGAACTTGATGAAACGATTAAAAATTTTGTAACTTTTTTTAAACTTCAGTAATGTAAAGAGCAATATTGCACAAATCATTGATAGCATTAAATTCATTTTGATTAAGCTTAATCAAGTTGTTAGATTTAGTAAAAATAATACTTTGGAAACAATAAGAAACCATTACATGTAATTTTTAAAAGTTTGGGAAAGTTTTCTTTTAAATAAGTTTATTTAAAAAATTAATGCGTGTGAGGGCATTGAAATGGTTGCGAAAAATTTCTATGACGTCATTGATAATAATTT